TGAGACTAGTAAGTAATCACAGAGACCACTCTAGAAACCAACTAACAATGCCTTCACAACCACTTGAGGTACCTGAGATCAGACTCGGTCCATCTCAGTTCGAGTCCAAGACCTCATTCTCATGCTCTTGGTCTTGTCTTGTACTCTGGAGCATTTGGACTTAAGTCTCGAGTCCGGTCTTGAGTACTGGAACACTGTGGATATGTTTTGTGGTCTGTGCCAACTCACGCATACGATCCACCAAAACCAGGCTTCATTGACCCCAAAGAAAAGCATTTTGACACTGTCTGAATTGGACTCAACCCTCTTGTGGTCTTTGTCTTGACTCTGACTCAAACTACTCAGGTCTTGGTCTGGACTCGAATGAGCCGTTCTCGTTCTCGACAAGCTAGAAGTTACAAAGTGCTCAGCAATGCTCTGGATCCCGATAGTACTTTGAAAATTTAGTGTTTGAAATTTAATGCAAGGGAATAAAGGCCCATTTATACCAATGATGATAATTATAATGGTAACTGTAACAATCTGTAACTAACTTTTAAAAATGGTTATAAGAGAATAGTGGAGTTCACATCACAACTACTACAACATAGAGGACTGATTTTGTTAGAATCACTTTCAGAACAATTTTTTTTTTCCAGCTGATGAATGATAAAAACTTTGACAGCCAATCAGAATCCACCCGACTTTAAAGAGACGCCCTAACTACTGCGCGTTTATAGTAAACAGGATGTCCATTGGTGTGGACTCTAATATAACTGTAGTTATCGTTGTAGTTATTGTTCTCGATCTGAACAGGCCTTAAAGTCCACCTTTTATGCTTTTTTGATTTGACCTTTCCTTTAGTGTGTAATACAGCAAAGTTACAAAGTCCAAAGGGAGTTAATGACTCCAAAAGAAAACTCTTGCCAGAAACACCTCATTTGTTTTTGTGACTTTGCTACATCACCAAGTTACATATTTGCATAACGGCTGCCTACTGGCTGCTTTGGCCTGCCCTCAAAGAAGAGTTGGGTAAGTGATATCGCTATATTGAAGAGATGCTCGCCTTATTGGACTTTGGCTCAAAATGGTACAGCAATATTGGTGCCAGTTCATAAATACTGTTTACAGCTGCTCCTGAAGCCTCGGGAGCCGAAAACAGATTATGATGAGGGCCATTACATTTCCAACAAACGCTCTGTTGTGACTGGCCAGTCACAACAAGCTGGGCCAGCTGACCAATCGGAGCAGACTTGGCTTTTCAGAAGGGCTTTAAAGAGACAGAACTAAAAACAGAACATTTCAGGCAGGGGGTATAAAGAGGTGCTGCAGCAATTTTTTATATATATATATATATATATATATATATATATTTATTTATTTATTTTTTTTT